TTAGTCTGTGTCGATATTTGATGCTACTTTTGCCACCATCTTCTTTCTTTTCATTTTGACTCAAAGTAACTAGGAAAAATAATCCGAAATACAGAAGGGGGAGGGGGGGGACGAGAGTTTGGAAGCGTATTGTCGATACGAAAATATAAAGTGTATCTATATGCTGCGCTAGGGTGAGTATTTCGAAGACGCAACCACAATTTCTCCCTAGAGTCGTAAAGTTTCGTTTCTGGAAACGAGAAGAGAAGATCCTATTTTTTTCTTTTTTCACCGTCGACCCCATTGGACATCTCCCTTTACCTCTCAGGAGTTTGTCGATGAGTATCGGGTATGTGGCGCACGTTTCCATCGTGAGATATAAGGATAGTCGGTTGCTAAGTTTCACTAGCCTAGTTGGTCGATCGCGCGCCAGGGAAAATTGAAAAAAAATTGGTTTAGCTATTTTCTTATTATTTTATTAATAGTGTTATTATTTTATTAATAGTTCTTTTCTCTGGTGATAACAACAAAGACAAAATGTGTACCTTCTTTGTCGCATCAGTTAGCTCTTTTAACTCAGTTATAGTCTCAATCGCTTTATATAAGAGAAATCAAAATTACTCTAAACATTAGATAATGCCACCGTAAAAATTACAAATTCAAAAACATATTTACATACACGTCAATAGTTATATCATCTTTAAATTTTCTGTCGATATAAATCTGTATGATATCAAGCTTTCCTTCATTATCACATCATACATTATACATGTTGATTTATATTTACAGAGTTGACAAGTGTGTATTGCGCAAAAGATTCTCGTTGCAAACTAATGGATTCTCTCTTTCTCTCTGACTATTTACGAACTTTATTTGTATAACACCATCGCGTACCCCGTTTCACGCTAAAATTCCGAATAGCGTTCCTCCGAAATGAAACATCCGGGTCTCAAAGGGTTAACGAGCAGTCAGCCGGCAACGAGAACCGCTTTTCCCGCACGATTGCACCACTTGTCCTTTGTTATTTGGTTATACCGATCGAAGTGCACGGAATTGTTAGGAATTTCCATGTGGTTTATATCCGGTTGGAAAATTTTAGCCGATATTTAAATTTTCGCCAACGGAAAGAATTTTTGGCTTACGATAATACTCAATATAGACCATGATAAAGCGCAAGATGAATGTACTCTGATCTGACGATTGCCGTTAGAGCAAATCAAATCGTTCGATATCGCGATCGCAATTACATGTACACCATGTAGGAAATATACCGCTGAATTTCGTTAAGCTAAACCGGAAATTAAGTTTTTTTGAATTTAAAAAGTTATTCCATATTTTATATTAAAAAAAAGATTGCGATATGTACCATATTATATCTGTCAAACGGAACATGTATATTTTATCGAGTCTGTTTTTGTCTACTTTTTTATCTAATTTTATCATATCTATTATTTAATTTAATTTTAAATCAAGCTTTTTTCTCAACGGTGAAAAAATAATATAACAGAGATTAACAAAATCTGTTAAAAAAATATTTTATCAATTTACACAGCTCGATAGTGATTAGAAGCTGATTTTTGAAAATTAAGATTGATAGTTTTGCATCAAAGATGTCTATTTCCTTGTAATTATATGCAACTTTATGTTGCAAACAAATTTTATATATTGAATTAAAAGTTTACCGCTCGTTAATTTTAATAACTTTGTTTCATTGTACATGTAACTGGTTAACACGGTATATGCT